ACCAGTTTGAGCTACAGTAGCTCGTCTGTTGGATCGGACCACACAGGCCAGCCTTCGCTCCCCACATGCATCAATAAGCCTTGGCCCCTCATGACCCTGTCTCCTGTTTACCTCTTTTCCTTCCTTGGACCACTTTTGATAGGTACCGACCGCTGCAGACCGGGAATACCCCACAAGAGCTGCAGTTTTGGAGATGCTCTGACCCAGTCATCTAGCCATCACAATTTGTCCCTTGTCAAAGTTGCTAAAATCCTTACACTGCCCATTTTTCCTTTTTCCTGTTTCTAACACATCAACAAGGACAAAATGTTTACTTGCTGCCTAATATTTCCCACCCACTGACAGGAGCCATGATAACCAGATAATCAGTGTTATTTACTTTACCTGTCATAGCCTGTTAGGGCTGATTAGTGTTATGTAACTTTGAAAAACTAACCTGTATTTTACAAAAAGAGGGAGAAATAAAATGATTAAAAAAAGCTTCTGTGATACTTTTCAGTACACTTACATTTAGTTAATAAAGTATTTTGTGTTTACACATCTTTGTACCACTGACAGTATGTTTTGTACACATAAATTGACAATGGAGCAAAGGCAGCATTTGCATAGATTAACTTTTACAATTATCTACAAGGGGAGGCGGTGAATGTCACTCCATTAGGAAAATACACATTTGCACATGAGCAAATCACTGCTCTGAAAACCTGAGAGAGTTCAGTTTGTCATAGTTTTAAGCATAGTTGTTGATTTTTCACCAATTCCAAACCTTGCTAATTTGTACGGAGTGAATCATAATGTTTTGGTGCCCACAGTAATCGAGAGACTCGTATGTCGCTCCTGTAGCCGATACTGGTGTCCCAGCAGTACTCCGGAGAGAGCACCCTGCTTGGTTTATGAAGCCACATGTACTTGTTGAGATGACTCTCGTCGTGCCACAATGCCTCCACACCGTTCTCTTTATCCTCCATGATGCTCTGATAGCAGGCCTCAGTCAGCGCTTTTACACTCCTCCACGAGCCTCCAAACACAGCAGCGTGGTAGTAGAAATCCCCATTTTCCATGAATGCCTTGGACTTTGGGTTGCGGTCGTAGGTATACCACTTCTTTGAAAGGTGGTAGTAGTATGCATGCAGCAGAGCCACAGAATCTCCCAGAGCCTCCGAGCCAAATCTCCCAGTAAACACCTGGTCCACATCAAAGCAGAAGACATGAGTACAGCGGTGGCGAATGTCTGACTCTATGACACCTGATATCGCCTTCATTCGCATCATAGAGATGTCCTGCCACCTGTCCTGCCTCTCCACTTTGATAACCTTTATGCTTCTCTGAGGGGCGAGCTTTATGTCCGGCATCTTCTCTGGGTTGTCCGTAAATATGTAATACGTGACGGGCAAACCCACCATGAAGTGACGCTCTGATGAGTTCAGGAAGGTGCTGAGGTAAGCATCCAGGTACCTTTGGTGGAAGTGGAGACAAGAACAATGTCTGAACAATGTTTTATTTTTACATAGTAGTTACCACAGCTAAACATAAATACCCCAAATATGGCAGACCACATATTCAGCTGTAATATATATATACACGTTACAAAACAAACCTTCCCACAGCAAACACTGTTAGAGCCACAGAGGATCCTTCCCTCTTGTGCATCTGGTCATAAAGATCAGGGTCAAACATCCCATCCCAGATAATGGGAGCTCCCCAAGATGTGCATGTTTGCACGTCACGTCTTGACCTGAAATAACAAAGTTATTTAAAGTTAAAAACACATGTATCAGGTTCAGCAAATAGATTCTGATTGGTTTTAATTCATGTTACGCCCAAAATACAGGTATTATTAATTAGGAAACTAACAACCCCTTTGTGACTTGTGTCTTACTTTGTGCTCGGATTATTCACAGTTTAACTAGCAAAAGTGGACTCGCCATGCACTTCAGCCCACGCACTATAAATCGTTTAAACAGGGCCAAAGTCTTACCCAAGATCAAGGCTCGCATCCACGCTGTTGTCCAGAGAGAGCATCATTGCACTTTTCAAAGAGCATTTGTCCATAGGTAGCAGGCCTATTAAAAGTCTGACAACAGAAACATGTAATAGTTAGTTTAAAAATGTATTCATGAAGGTTATAATGTTGAAGTTATTTAGCCTTCTTTCACTGAAAAACAAAGGGTGGACAAAATAATAAAAACACCAGTAAGTATAAAGCAGTGCAGTTCCACAAACTACAACCTTCAAAATTACTATAACTGTGAATCCACACCTCTCTAAAATGGCCAAAAACGATAATTCTAATCTTCACGAAGAGAGGATTTATTGCAGGGCTGTTGTATAAAACTGCATTATGTTTAGCTAGGCATACCCACAGCAATAAACTGAGTGCAGATGGTATCCTTTAATTTTTAAATACAGAATTGTTTTGGTACTCACTGCAAAGATGGAGATGTGAAGTAGAGAACACAGAGTGCAATAGGAAAGCAAAGCACACATTTAAAACTCTTCATCTTCTGAACGTATCTGCAGAAACAATGTCAAGACAGATTAAGTCAACAAAAAAATGGCAAAATAAAGCAAACAATAAAATATATTTTTTAATAGGCCTATGTAACATACAGGGTTGAGTGAGTACGCAGCTCAAGCAACTATCCAGCACAGAATAGTTAAATCAATATCCATATTCATAAATATAGCAACTTTTAGACTATAATAGGTTTTTTCTGTATATATAGTTAGTAATGAAATCTTGCTCTGGGGATATCCTGCTAGCTCACCTGGTAGAGCTGACGGCTATGTAACTAGGCTTGCTGCAGCAGCCACTGGTTTGAATGCAACCTGTGGCCCTTTGCTGCACTTCCTCCCCTCTCCCCTTTTCCTGCCTATCATCAGTTGTCCTATCCAATAAACGCAAAAAATAAAAGTAATCGACATCGGCCGATGTGTCCACTTAATGTTACATTCAGGTTACAATCCAACCATTCATCATTCTGTTACACTAAATATAGATATATTGTCTGTAAGTCTATGATATAATAGGTATAAAACAATAATTTTGTTTTTGTACATTTAAAAATGGTCGAATAATTATGTAGATCATATTTTTTGACTATATTTAAACAGTATTTGACTATGAATGACTGCATTCACATTCAGTTTACCTCATAGGACTGGAATCCTGTGACACATTTATTGTGCCTTCCCATTTTGTAACTTGATATGCACTGCTTCCGCTTTGCCAACTGTCACATGGCTTCAAATGTATGTTTTAGGCCGATAAACAAAAAATTCTTTAGACACATCTCCAGGTAGCCGTGTCAGTGAGGTTTCTAGCCCTCTCTCATTTACAGCATCCTGCTGTAAACATATGGCTGAATTTCTTGTAGAACAGAAAATAATCATACATGACTTTTCTTTGTATTGATATCAGCAATATATGTCAGCCCTGCTCTCTGAATATCAACATCATCTATTAAAAAACCCATATCCGTCGACTACTAGTAGAAACATGGTGGTTCTACATGGCGGGCCGGACTCTGTAGAAGAGCTCAGCTTCTACACTAATGAAAACAGGAGTACTATATTTAATTTCTGCTAATGCATTCTCCTTAATGTTACATACTGAACCTTTAAGCTTAGATTTAAAAAAAATAAATAAATCACAAACTCAGACTGCCATATTCCCTCTGTGCCCTTTAGTCTTCAGCCGAGTCTGATACAGAAAAAAACCTGTTTACTGTGAGCCTGTCAGCTGAGTGCTGCGCTGTCTATACTGCCCTACAAAGCATAACCACAGTAACTACGCTAACAGTGAAACTGAGAAAAATTGCTTTAAAGTTTTGGTTTTAGTTATATAGAGTACAGAAATGTGAAATTCAACAAGCAGACGTATCGGAACACTGTGCGGTTTATCTTGAAGTCAAATTAAAACCGCAGGAGAAAAGTACACTATGGAGGTTAAATGTTGGAATACTAAATAACAAATCAATAGTGGAAGAGCTAAAGAAAGACATCACAATTTATCAAAAGGAAAAGGACAATGGAGAGGTCACGCCCGTTGTTTTGTGGGATGCCCTGAAAGCAGTGATTAGAGGAAAACTTATTGCAAAGACAGCAGCAATTAAAAA